GTGTTTGTAGATCTCCTTTATGCCTAAGGGAGAAGTCAATAGTCTGGCATTTTGAGGGATTCAGCATGAGACCATTTAGTTTAGACCACTGACTGATGTCTTCCCATTATCATACTGAAGGAGGAGGAGAAGCGACTTAATTTTAGTATACCGTATATTCAAGGGTGATTTATTTTGAGGGATTGACCTTTCAAACCTTCCCTCTCTCTCTTTCTAGGATACATTTACGAGGTCACCACAAGAAGGTGCTCAAACCGAGGTCGAATAAACTACGTGTGGTGGTCAACGACTGGAACTCCTTACCTGACTCAGTGTAGTAACAGCTCCATCGGTGAACGCTTTCAAAGAGAAACTGGATCTCTGCATATATATATATATATATATATTATTTAAACGCAGAAAAAACTTGGTACAATATGGCACCAAGAAAGATGCGCCACACAATAATAATAAAACAACATAGATTAAAAGTAAAAATATAAGTAAAGAACGGATAAAGAACTTCATCTGGAAGGAAAACAGTCATGTTTAACAAGTTCAGACAGTATTCGTTAACTATCATCAGGAAGGGAAGAAAGAAGGAAATTGCAGCACGACGTTCGCCATTGATGACTGGCTATTCTTGGCCATATTCGATAACGGCACGCGGTTTCAGGATATCTGTGTTAGATGTCACATTGGGGACAACCATTTTGAGGGTTACTCACTAACATCTCCAAAAGACGACACAGATAGGCTAGGAATCCAGACAAAGGCGAAAGGCTGTCGAAGGTTAAGAAGTCAAGGTGAGCAAAGGTAAAATACAGGAATCTAAGTATAAAAATGAAAGTAAGGTTGGAAGGACATAAGTTGCTTGAGGTATCATTATTTCTTGAAATCATTTTCGCAAGCGCGCGGTGAGTTTCCATAACAGTTTGTTGCTTCATTTCTTTTATTGTGTGAGGGCTGAAATACTTACTGCCCGAGGCACCCAGACAGAAACAGGTGGTTTTCTTAAGGGACCACCCCCGAGCCTTTGACTTGGAGTCTAATCCGCAAGGCAGTGGAGCAGCGTCAGGAGCTGCGTTCCCATGGTTTCCGGTGACCCATATGGGTTCATACGCCATTTGATGCGATTGAATTCTGGAGCCCATGTACCCCATGGTAACTGCTTTTAGTCTAACCGCTATCCAAACAACTTTCGTGACATGGTAGAACCGGCAGGGACATGAGTCCCAGCCAGTTTAGCTTGTTGGGTCACTGCGGCATTCAAGCCCGACCACCAAGGAAAGGTAGCAGTTATCGGCCGGGGATATACATATATATATGTATATATCGCGAGGATTAACATAGGCAACAAGAGCCTTCTATCCTTATAATCTGAATCTGAAAACTATTCATCCGCACCAACTGTTTACTACTACTACTACTCCACATCGAAAGTTATACCTTATGACTGTCAATTTATAGCCACGACTGGATCTCTGCCGGTCTGTCTGGATTCAACATAGAACTTGGCACCGAAAAGCAGCAGTTCCAGTTGCCACCTTCCAAATAGCACACAAAGGTAGACAAGAAAATGAGTGAAGAGAATCAATCAATAGAGTTTTGACAAGTATAAGAGTGAAACAGACAGAATGAGTAATGGTAGAAAGGAATATGAAAGATTACACAAGAGACTGAATACATCTGCGTAAGCCATTGACAACGATTTTGAGTCATGTATGTCACCTATTGTCTGTCTCCAGCCATTGATTCTTAGAGTCCCGAGGGCGAGCCCCAACCCGGAAGTCTGCATCTCCCTCCCTGACTGACTCAGTTTAACTGTCAGGGATTTCATGGATTGATTGATGCCATGTTTTTGTTTGCCATGGCACCACTTACTCTTTTCCAACCTGCACCTATATCAGCTAGTAGTGCCCATCGGGAGGGGGGGGCGATGGTTAGGCATGCGCAGCACGTCACCTAGCCATCGCAATCTATGTAACTTTATAGCCTCGTCGATTGATATTCCCTCTTTGCCCAACACTCTACGCCTAACCTAACGTCAACATTGTTTACCTTATTATACCACCTAACGTGAGAAAAAGATCGTAGACATCTGTGATCAAAAACAGTCAACCTTTTCATGTCTTCAACTCGTATTGGCCATGTTTCAGAGCCTTAGAGAAGGCCAAGACTGGATTCACGCCATTAGATGGTAGTTATGCTAGGAGAGTTAGTGAACAGTAATTACTGAACATTGAAATTAGCAAAACTGACCACCACCACGACCACACCAATTATTCTTAATTTCACACTGCCACTCGCTTTTAATGGTAGATAAACTGAAGCAGGAAGTTTGACTATGTTGACTTGTTGTAAAGTATTCAGTTCCCTGTCTGCCTGTCTGTCTATTTTCGACATAAAACTTTGCACACATGTGCGGCAGTTCAAGTCGCCACACTCCACTCTTTGTAGCACACAAAGCAAGAGATGAAAGTGGGAGAAACGCATATTAGAGACAGTGAACAGAGGTGTGAGACAAAGGAATAGTAATAACGAAGAACACAATATAGCTTCATTGGAAATCATAAGTCACAAGGAGTGGATGCATCTGCGCCAGCCACTGAGAACGATGAGTTTGAGCCGGACATATCACCAATTGTTTCCAGCCTTCATTGGTTTTCACTGTCCGTCCCAAGGACCCCAACCAGTCAGGAAGCCAGTCTACACCTTTCTACGTGGCTGACTGGCTGGCTTAAACTAACTGTTGTGGATTTCATTGACTGATGAAGCCATGTTTTGGTTTGACCGGCGCTAGCTCTCTCTTTTCCAGCCTGACCAATCCTATGTCAGCTTACATTGCCCATTGTCGAGGAAGGCGATGACCAGGAATGCATACGTAACACATGTCCTAACAGCCTCACTTAGTCGATGTAATTTCACAGTCTCGTCGATTGATTTCCCCTCCCACCTACCTAGCACTCCCTGGACGCCTCACCTCAATATTGCTCACCTTATTATAACACCAACTAACACGGGAGATAGAACGCAGGCACCTACGATCGAAGACAGCTAGCCAGCCTTTTCATGTCTTCCACTCTCAATGGCCAGGTCTCACAGCCAGCCATAAAGGAGGACGGAGCGGACTGCTGGCTGAGCAGTACACACGCCCTTTGGTCGATAGTCGGATATCACGTCTACTAAGCCAGAGACGGCGTAAACTGGCGGGCGTATGCGAAACTAGCCCATACTCAGCTGAGATTTCGTCAGAGATCAACCCGTTGAAATCTCAGTCCTCTAATGTTGTGTATGACTTCATGTAAGCTTCTAAGCATATTAATTACCATATTTTTGATTGCACACTAGTCAGTAACTAGTGTAATGCGTCTGGTCCTATCTTCGGTGCAGACTGAATTCTACCAGTCATGTTTGCAATGTGGCCACCATGCTAGGTGGTTCGCCATTACGGTGCGCTGTGAATTGTTGGTATTAGATGGTTGGAGGCAATCGGCAGGAAGCCTTGGACCTAGGTTTCGTGCTAGTTGGCACTCATCAGCAAGGCGTATCTGCAACCTTGAAGGAACTGATGTCCCTTCTGAGATTCGAACCCGCGTCACCCAGTGCTGCGGTCAGAGACGTTACCACTGAGTTATTCAGGCTCGCGACTGACCTCCTGTATGACTGTATTGGATATTTTTGATTGCACACTAGTCAGTAACTAGTGTAATGCGTCTAGTCCTATCTTCGATGCAGACTGAATTCTACCACTCAGCAGCAGACTGGGTGACGCGGGTTCGAATCTCAGAAGGGACATCAGTTCCTTCAAGGTTGCAGATACGCCTTGCTGATGAGTGCCAACTAGCACGAAACCTAGGTCTAAGGCTTCCTGCCGATTGCCTCCAACCATCTAATACCAACAATATTAATTACCAGTTTGTAGAATGGAAACATCAACTTTTCATCAAGGTATATAAAGTTCAGTCGACATGACTTAAATTATGAAGCATCAATATTTGCTGCTATACAAAACAATAGATGTTTCCACTCATCCTTGTATTTTGGGTTAGCGATACGTCTTCGGCTCCATTATTCACCTTTATATACATCTCTGATGAGGTCAAGACTGAAAAACTGCATCCAGCCAACCAGTCCTTGTCTAAAAGGGGACTCACACCTTTCTAGAAAGGGTTCAAAGGAAGGCAACACGTATGATTCACGGCATGACTAACTTATCATACTAGGAAAGACTAGACAGTTTATTAAATCTCTTCTCCCTGTCATACCATAGTAGGCAGAGAGGAGATTTAATCACAAGGTTTAAATAATTTTAAATTATGACTACGGACCTGACCTATTCTCTCTTTTCCTTCCCACCCCACCAGGTGGTCGGACACACCACCTTAGAGGATATAGCAGGAGAGTTCAAAAGCCAAGAAGAAATCATATTGCTGTTCTGAGTACTGGTTTTCACACTGAGTCGTAAACTCTTGGAACCGACTGACTCCTAGAAGAAGAAGTGGTGGTGTCTGCAACCTCAACTGTGATTCGTTCAAGAAGGCTTTGGACAAGCAAAGAAATTTACTAGAAAAGGATTAACATCCGGTTCCAAGCCTTCTATCTTCAACCACGATTTTATATAACGTACTTATCACACTTAAATGATACGTACAGGGGATTTTATTGATCACAGGATAAAGTGACAGCTATCAATTACCAATGCATTTATATAAGTAAATCACCTACAGTGTACAAATAGATCACATCCTACTCAGAAACTAACAAAACGAAATAACAACGAGTTGACAGTGATTGACTGACTGACTGAGGTTAGCATCATGCCAGGCTGGATTAAGTAAGTAGATCGTGGCTTTCAGCACCTACATGTGTAGTTTACTATACAAGTATTTTTCTAAAATACACAAATACACACACCACAAACTGCCCTAGAGAAAAAGTCCCCACTCTGCAGTACATTACGACACGAACAATAACAACAAAGCTTAAGCATAAAATTTCAAAAAGTTAAACCACAAAATGTAACCAGAACAATGTATTATTAATCAAGCAGTATAATGAATGTACAGATTTTGGGGGAAGGGATCCTAGCAATAATATTAATAATAATAATAAAAAAACAACATAATATATTGTTCTCACCACCAAAAAACTCAGAAAACAAAACACTTTACAATTCGTCGTGATCCTTAGACGCGTCCCCGTCTGTCTTCTCAGCAGCATCTTCAGCTTCTTCTTTGGTATCATCTTCCACTGGAGCTTTAGCCTTCTCCGCCTCTGAATCCTTTTCAGATGATGCTGCTGCTTGATCTTTAGCTACTTCAGCGTCAAAACGTTTCCGCCAATGTTGCTCGCCTTCTTGCTTGGCGAGTTCTTCACTGTCGGTAATCAATATATTGTCAAAAATAGACCCTGAATCAACTTGCCACAGGTCAAAACCAACATAACCAATATCATCTTGGATATATAACTCAGGATCTGGTTTATAGTCTGGATTATCGATTTGTGCAGGTTTCCATTCTCCTTTGTATTTTGGATTAGCAATACGTCTTGGACTCCATTCCCCTTTATAATCAGGATTATTTTTTTCAGGACGTTGCCATTCCCCATCCATGTCATCATCCCAATCCTCGGGTTTTTTAACATCCATATCAGGTATCATTTTAGGCTGATCCCAATCCTCTGGTTTCTTATCCTCTGGATCATCGATATATTCATCATCAACCCAATCAGCTGGTTTCTTGTCATTTGGATCCTAAGTAATAAAAAAAAATTATTAAAGTCAAGAAATCTCAACTTACATCTATTTTTTTAGGTTGAAGCATATTCCAATCGTCTTCCAGTGAACCCTTTTCTACGCTATCATTGTCGACCAACACCTCGTAGGTATTGTCAGGTTTTACGATGAGTGTGTAGAGGTGGGTCTTCAAATCATCTCTGCAAGCAATTTCTTTCTTAATGAGATGATTTTGGCCTTTATAATTGAAAATGACATGAATTTTCTTGGTAGCCATGCCACATATATCAGGACCTTTAGAAATATAAAAATATCAAGGGTTAGAGTAACCGAACCACATCTTACCGAACATAATTTTGTATGGAGTTTCTCCATGGAAAGTCTTTGGATCAATATCAGAACCAAGAAGTTTAATGTAAGCTCCACCACAACTGACAGTTTTGTCAAATTTAACGCTGAATTGGACAACAAGAGTTTTGTCACGGTTGCTAAATGGCTTCTCAAGTTTTCGTGCTATGCCATAAAATCTAGCATCTTGAGTAGTTTTTAAACCCAAATCTTCAATTGGATCAATTGGTGATGTTCCAGCTTCTATTTTAAACTCTCCCTGTTTATCACCATTGTGAGTTGATGCAACCCAGTTGTTTATGGAATCCGCTGAAATAGTCAAAATAGATTAGTAAATCGGAATATTGTAATACCATCAGGAAATGTTTCAGTGAACCACACTTCGTGGCCAAAGACACAATTCAACAATAGGACAGGCAACAGCAACAAGAACATCAGGAGGAAACCCAGAAACCACTGATTTAGATTGAAACGGGACGCAAGGTATATATATGTAGATGCTGACCAATCACTGAGCTCCACAAAAATGCTACCTAACAAAATTGTGACATTTAAACAATATATGAAACACTCTTAATATTTTTGTATAAATATACAAGTTTTCTCTATTAAAAGCCTAATCATGTCTCAAAAACTTCCTTTTTGAAATATTTATCAGAGTTGTCTTAGCATCTGTATGGGTTGTTCTCATTCAATTAATCGAATGAATGAGTAATTCTAAATACGTGAAGTCAAAGTGTTAGTACTTCCCAGGACTGATAATATTCGTGTAACAGGCAGAAGTTATCTTTCAAGTATGCAAATATTTGATTATTGATGTTGCACTACTGGGAGTGACTAAAAGATATTACATGTGATGAGATATGCAAATTTTAGTTATGTCTGTTGTAAAAAGTTTGGCCGTAAACATTTTTCCGTTTTTTACCCAATTTTACGTATTCACTTACGGTTACCATGGGAAACATAACTAGATCAAAGGTTTAGAAGGGGACCTTAATGATGCGCAGTGGTACAGACCAGTCAGATTCTCGGAGAAAAAATTTCTTCAGCAGCCACATGGACTTCAGTTCAATGTGAGAGATCTGACTGCCCACCATATAGCCTAGACGGCCAGACATTTTGGGGAGGAAGAATAATATGTGCACTTCACTAACGATTGTAAAGTTCAACGTTTTTAACCTCTCATGGGAGTTGAAACTGACATCCTTGTTTGTCGAACTTAGTGTACTAAACCTCACTAAACTTATTTGAGAGCCTCATGATATCAACAAGGTTATGGCAAAGTGACGACTCTTGAGGCTCAAAATAAAGTGAAGGTTTATTGCATGATCAGCGACACATTTTTGAATGACTGGTTAGCCTAATGAGTTTCAAGTTAGCCCATCTTTGGCATCTACTTCAAAAGGTATCAATGTATCATCCAAACTTGCTTCATTAATTTCCAGATCTGAATGACTCCTGCGATTGCCCGTTACGCTCATCGATTGTGCGAACTACATACAGGCACTGAATGCCTTGATGTGAGAGTTAGAAAATTAAATTTTGCCCGTTTAGCTGAGTACTATGGGTGCCCATAGCAATTTCGGCGCGATGAACCCTTGTCTTGCTTTGCAAGACATTCATGACTGGCTTTGACATTCATACTAACCCTACATGCGACTGAAATGATTATGCCCATCTGTTAGATTCTCGTATCCCTGATGGCTGATGTCCGTTGTTGTCGGTAAGTTGTCTTCATCACCTCTGTTTTCTCTATATTCACAGAGAAACGTTTACTTGCTGACTACTTGGACCTGTTGGTTTTTGTTTTTTATATCTTCACATGCAAAATCCAGATCTCCTGTGATATTTCATTAGTTTACTACACGTCCGCTCCCTGTGGTTTGCCATATGACCTGGCTCACAGCGGTCATGATTTTAATTGGTTATGGTAGGAAGCCCTGTCTCATGCCTCTCTTCACTTCATTGAGCTTTCCCCTGCTGAATAATTGACATGTGGCATCATCGTGTAGCTGTCGAATAAAGTTTATTGATGCTTGCGATACGTATCCATTACCACTGAAGCTGTTTCCTAATTAATTTTCGGTCAACACTGCTGCAGGCCCTATATTTTTTTCAGGACGATGAGACCTTAGGTCCTGCCTGGGCTGCAAAGGACAGCCATTCATTTGCAATTTTAAGAGAGTTTTGGGTGGCCGTTCTTTGACATTTCCACTGGTAATCTATCTTCCTATGGGCCGGTATCTTTACTTCCCTCAACGCCTGAATTAGTGAGTTCAGCACGTTCGCATAATTTGCTGGGTCAGTTTTCTCATTATTGTCCCTGGGAGAGTCACACCAAATCCTACTAATCTCCCGGTTTTTGGTAACTTCATGTTTTTGACGGCTTCAGTTTTGATCGAAGGGCTGGTAGTCAACTGTATCTTTGTGGTAGCTGGCTTTGTGTCTAGGTGTAGTTGGCAATCAATATAGGAGTCCACTGAAGTGACTGGTGCAGCATCTCCTCCGTTCCACTTTTTCGATAGCTGAGTTTCCCTCGTATCATCCAAGTCCATTCAGTCCCCCATGACAGGCTGCTGACCTGATGCAGTGTTTCGTGTCGTGCTTTAGTCGTCGTTAAGTCACAAAGACGCGTTGTGTTTCTCCTAGAAAATTTTTGGTGCACTTTTCTTCGTGCTCATGTTGCCGTTCATCTCTGAACTGCTTCTTTTTCTGACTCAGTCCTATGTCAGCCTTCCGTTTAGTCAGCGATTCTTTGTCTGCCCACTCATTTAGTCTTAGGAGTGTCTCTCAGCCTTTTATTATGTTGCTTTCACAGAGTGACAGTAATCCTCAATGCAGACCTCTTCAGTGCTGCCGTTTCATATCTGGAATGTTTTACTGTTAACTGGAGTAGATTTGTCATTTATAGCTTTGCTTGTCAGCTTCTTAGTGTTGAACCTCAGTTGCGGTGTATCTCCAGCCTTCATTTGCTGGACTCAGAATCCAGCACTAGACTAGACAACTAATGACCACATTCCTTTTTACTCACTGCAAAAGCATAAGGACACAATTTGAGGGGGATGGTGTCTCTTAATATGATGCCATGGGAAGTGCGTAACTAGAGTAAGCGAGCTATATAATCAGGATGCAAAGTTGTGAAGAGTAGCATTGGGTTTCCCTCTAGATGGGGCTCACGGTTGGCTTTATTCGTTTAAGGACATATATGGCTGGAAATGCTACTCCCATTACAGCCCTTAATAATAATAAAAATGTATTTCATATAAATTTACAAATTTACATGAAAATGCATGCCATTTTTACAGGCACGATCAAGTATGATATAATATCAAATCGTAGATTGTCTACAAGTTAATCGTATTTCAACTGTTAAATATTCGATACATATAATACACTCATTTTCTGAATTAGGCCGTATAGTTATTGAATTGTACAGTTGTCCTCCAGGTTGAGCGGGAAAATCGACTTCGTTCCGTTTTCATCCCGTGGTTGTAGGCATACGATAACCAACCAATTTTGAGGTAAGTACACCTTTTACAAGGGATTGGAATCTGTTTTAGAAAAATTAAAGTGCTGAGGTGAATCATTAAATTGTAATGAAATAGGTAAGTGCAAGTGTCATTAATAAATGCATTAATAAAGGAAACACCCTAGGGTAACAACATTCATTTGCAATGAATAATGCTACAGATATATCACAAACTATCATGATATCCACTTTTGGTTTTAATACAATTATCCTCACGCCAGTTGTTTTTATTTTATACCTTTTTGTGCATTTAGTGCACAACCGTACCCTTCAGAGAGTAGGAGTATAATAAGTAATGAAGAGCTATAAGATGTTAAGTTTAATGGAGTAAAATGAGGATCGAGTAAAGACGTTGTCAGAAAATAAATGAGATAAGACATTGTGGAGTGGTATGAAAAGATCTGACGATAGACAGCAGGTTAATTTATAAGATGCCCCATAAATCTGAGCAGATCCCACATGGTCGCATCTCAACAATAGGCTGGGTGAATGGTATATATTTAAAGATAGAAGCATGATCTGTCAAGGCGTTCATTGTTACCTTTTTCAAGATAAAGATTTAAGCCCTAGTAAAAATCAGAAATATCTCGAGCCTTCAAATTTTTTAATGCTGTTCCTGCAGAATGGGGCGATTCACCTTAGTGACCCCCACCGTATCTACTGATCAGCTAACTCCACCCTCCCACCTTCAAGGAAGCCACCATGACTTCAGAAGAGGAGGATATATTTTTCTTGCCCAGCATATGTGCATAAAGAGGTCACCACTGACAATTTGTCTTCCAGTGTGGCTAGAACTGTAGACATTTTCTTCACAAGAGAACATGCAGAAAATCTTCAGAGAGTTAACACTTGAGTATCACGGTTACATATCAGGGCCTTTAAAAGTTCTAGGATAATTAGGTCAAGAGCCGGTCACATATACTTCGCAATTAAAACAGTATTTTAGGGATAACGTGAATTAAAGTTGAGCCAGCCTTGCTGCCATTCACGCATATTTCATCTGGAAGGTGCTAGCTTCTAACGACATCAGACTATGGAGAATTATGGCGTGCATATGGAAGGTGTAGTGGCTCCAGAAATGGTTAAGGAAGTAAACTTTGTCGTAAATTTAGACTAATATTCGTACCAGAGACCTGCAAGACTGTTCATTAAAAAGCTGTCTCTTGATATGACGCTTCCGCCTCTGTCTAATTGACTTCTCACATGGAATAAAAAGGACTAGCTTCGGTTTTCCCTTGACAGCAAATCTGACCATGTCAATAAATATAACAGTGCTATGATGAAATTTTACACTTTACAACTGGAAGGCAGAAGAACTAATTGTTTGTTTCCGATCTGAGGTATTTCACATTTTCACTAACTCGTCTTGAAAGATGACTGCGTCCAGGTTTGCTCGAAATTGTATTGAGAACTTATGGAATATAGGACCCGAAGATTATATGTTGTGCGACAGTACAGCATCTACCTTCTAACAGATGTCATTTCCTGAAGCGTTCATGATACACAGCCAGTATATCTAAATTTGGCTAGTGTCGTAACTACATGTTGTCCTCTTATATACTACTAATTTGGCCCAGTTTTAAAATAATACATTTTGTAGAAGGCACACTTAGTAATTGCATTCGTTCGGAGTTTAAAATTCGCCTAAACTGGAGTTGCTACTCCAGACTGTTGGTTGGTGGGAGAAATTGATAAAGTTGACTGGATGGCCTTCAACGATGTATGAAGCCTTGGATCTTCGCAGACAATCAAATCGCTTATTCTGAAACTGTGACCAGTCTAGATGAGGGGGTGTTGACCTTCACGCAATGCACGATATATACCAATGCGAGTTTTTACACCAACAATTCCCATAGTATTTTTTCCATGAAGATTTAAGGTAAATCAAAATGCCACATTGATGGTTTAGAATACGAAATGTATTTTGAGATCGAAATCGTGGTACTCAGCCAGTTAGGGACCGTGCATCAACGAACGATTGCAACACGAAGGTGTGGATGCTTG